TTAAAATTAATAAAATTAAAAGTAATAGAAGCAACATCATGCTGGCTAAGAGTGATTAATAACAAAATACCAGTTGAATGTTAGCAGAAAGTAGAAAAACTGTCCAATAAAACCAAGATGTTTTTTATGAAGCTGTGGGCTGTGAACAGGAAGAACTGTGCAGAACAAACACAACACTCACACACAAATCTGCACAATAAGGTATTAAAAAGTGATTTTTTTTTTCTTTTTCACTGATCTTTTTGTAACCAGCTGTTGACAGTCAGACCAGACTTTATGTACCGCTGGTTTATTATCTTTACAGTAATGTTCTTAAAAGGATCAAATAACCACATCAACTCTTTAAAATATTGTAAAATAAAAGTTTATTTGAAGATGTTTTGCTACTATGGTATCTACACTGTACAAATACATGCAGTATTCAGTACATGCTATGATGCGATACATGCTGTGTAAAGGAACCCTTTATTAAAACGTTGACTAGTTAATTACTGCTAGTTTGGATTTTTAAAACAAGGTTCTGTRGAAAGATTGCAAACATTTAATATCTTACCTGTTGCAGATAGCTCAATGAAAGCTTCAGTTTAAAAGAATAAAGTTTAAATCTTTACATTGTTTTCAGTTTTGCATTCCATATTTATTCCAGCAGAGATATCAGAAAGGCTGCTCTGGAATGGTTTAAACTAGCTGTTGCTGCTAGTTGTTGTTGCAAATAACAATAAATCCAATGTAAATACCAGTGCAATACAAAATGAATAGTGGTGTATTGGCGTGTAAAGTATTGTTTGTTTAAACTAATATCAAATCTTTAAGATTGGAGTTCTTTTAAGACAGCAGCGCTGCACTGTGGTCTGTGCCCCGCTCAGTTCAGCTCATCAGTCTRATAATAATGAAACAATTAGAGTTTGTAAAAGTTCATCATTCATTTTTCCATAAAAAAAATTAGAAATAGAAATCATGCATTTGCATTACAGGTGGTACAAAAATAATTCATCTGAAAACATGTTTGTGGACCACGCCACGAACAGAGAGGAAGAGAAAAGCAGACCTGCTGGGGGCGCTATTCTTCAGAGGATTTAAGGCTCTAATGGGCTGCCGTATGTAAAGTTACACAGTCAAAAATTACCATNGTTTTGGTTCCTCAGACTAGAAATCTGCTCCTTGTCAAGCAGGGCTCGTCTCTCAGAAAACAGAGCGGCCATGTTTCACCGCTGCTTAGCTCAGTTTCAACTGGGACGCAAACTGAGCTTCAAAACCGTACTACAGTTACTGGGAATGATGGCTTCCATGATTTCAGTAGTACTAGAGCTGGGCGATTTGATCAAAATTTTATATCCTGGTTTTTTAAACATTTTCACCAGTTTCAAGGTATTTGATGGTATTTTTCTTTTCATCACAGCTCAGCTGATAATAAAATGTACAAACCCTTTCAAGTCTTACAAACAAAAGCTGCTTCAAAGTGTAATCCTACAGGGAGTGAGAGTCGTTCAACAAATATTACGTCACACAAACTGCGCCCCCTGCTGGAGCTCTGAATGAGATGCAAAACTAGGGTTTTTCACCCAATTTCTTTTGGTCAAATTTACAACAATATTTAGACATTTTATTAATATTCCTACAACATATACTATCAGATTATTGAGTTTTTCACCAACTAAAGGATCCTTCATTTCACCTTTAAGTTTCTTTAAACTGTAGGAGCCTGTAAATAATCTGATTGCTGCTCTGTTCTCCAGGCCAAGCAGCGGGCCGAGGTGCTGCAGTCCACTCACAAGTTCTTCTCCGAGCAGCAGCAGCTGAAGGCTCCTCAACAGGTCAACAAAGCCTCCCGCCTCGACCAGGGAGGGAAACCTCCGCTTGACACGCTGGCCTCAAACCACCAGGCTGCAGGGGAACGCCCAGATYCTGACAAGCCCCCCATATCCACGGCTAAGCCCATTAGAACTGGCCCCATAAAACCCCAGGCCATTAAACCAGAGGAGGGCAAGTAAGGAGCCTGCAGCCCTGCTCAGGTGACACACCTGCAGGCAGCAGGGAGAAGCTCCTCCCACTCACCCAAGCAAAGCCTCATATCATCCCTGGAGGACATTTTGGGGGGGCGGAGCCTGAATATGGTGGTGTTACAAACTGTAGGCCTTGTCAAGTACAAGTGCAGTCCTCTTCCTCCTTTTGATCTAGGTGTGCCCCTCTGCAGGTGAGGGGGTCCCAGTTTTTCATCACATTTAAATGCTGATAAAAGTTGCTGCTCAAATAGTTTCCTAAACACGTGCTCCGACAGTAGATTCACAGAGTAAAGGAGAGAAAATCTGAGACGTGCTGCTGACTTAGACATTTTTTATTCTCATAGCATCCAGTGTTTCTGTTAACGAATCAATCTGGTTTTCTTAAAGACAAGTCATTTCTCCAAACACTTTGTTCTCCCATCACTAACCCAGACATTTGTGGGACTACACGTGCTCAACGGTTTGATACACACACACACACACACACACACACATGTTTTGTTTCAGAATGAAAATGTGAACTCTGCAGGAGTCCATTCATTTTTTGATTTGTCTGTGAGCCTTTTGCTCTCATCTCCTTGTGTGTGTGTGTGTGTGTGTGTGTGTGTGTGTGTGTGTGTGTGTGTGTGTG